GTTATTAATTTGGGGCAGGGTTAATGAGGATTATTAAATGAGGAGCAGGGTTAATTAGCATTAATTAATGAGCGTTAATTGGGGCAGGAGACGGCCTTCGCGGCGCTGGCCGAGGTCACCGAGCGGGCGCTGGCGCTGACCCGGGCCCGGCACCTGCTGCTCGTGGGGGGCGTGGCCTGTGAGTGGGCGTGGCCACACCTGGGTGGGCGTGGTCTCAATTTCAACGGGCGTGCTCTCACCTGGGTGGGCGTGGTCACACCTGGGTGGGTGGGGTCTCACCTGGGTGGGCGTGGTCACACCTGGGTGGGCGTGTTCACACCTGGGTGGGCGTGGTCACATCTGGGTGGGCGTGGTCACACCTGGGTGGGCGTGTTCACACCTGGGGTGGGCGTGGCCACACCTGGGTGGGCGTGGCCTCAATTTCAATGGGCGTGATCACACCTGGGGTGGGTGTGGTCACACCTGGGTGGGCGTGTTCACACCTGGGTGGGCGTGGTCACACCTGGGTGGGGTCTCACCTGGGTGGGCGTGGTCACACCTGGGTGGGCGTGGTCACACCTGGGTAGGCGTGTTCACACCTGGGTGGGCGTGGTCACACCTGGGTGGGCGTGGTCACACCTGCGTGGGCGTGGCCAAGGCGGGGGCGTGGCCCCAGCGGTGGCCCCGCCCCCAGCCCACCTGTGCGCAGGTAACCACCGGCTGCAGGAGATGATGCGGGCGATGTGCCGCGCCCGGGGGGCGGAGCTCTGCCCCGTGGACGACAGGTGAGGGCGGGGCCCGGCCCGGGGGGGCGTGGCTCACCTGCGGGGCCCCGCCCGTGACCTCTGACCCCGCAGGTACTGCATCGACAACGGCGCCATGATCGCCCAGGCCGGATGGGAGATGCTGCGGGCGGGGCAGGTCACCGAGCTCAGCCAATCAGGGATCACGCAGAGGTCAGGGGGGCGTGGCCGAGCGGGCGCGGCTGGTTTGGGGTTGCCTGACCTCTGACCTTTGACCTCTGGCCGCGCCAGGTACCGGACGGACGAGGTGGAGGTGACCTGGAGGGATTGAGGCGGCCACGCCCTTCAGAGGCCACACCCACCTAATAAAATATTCACCGCCCCGCCCCAACTTGGCCGCGCCTCTTTATTTGTGGATTGGGTCATTCGGTGGGTGACCACGCCCCTCTGGAGAGGACCAATCAGGTTTGGAGGCTCCTTGTCAATCACTGAGCTGTGCCTGTCAATCAAATGCTGCTAGGCACGCCCCTTCCTTTGGGGTAATTAATAGCTGAGCTGTCAATCAACTGTGACAAGCCACACCCCTTGGATTTGTATATATTAATATCCTGTCAATCAAATGCTGCAAGCCACGCCCCCTGCATTGGGGCGCATTAATACCTGAACTGTCAATCAAGCATGACAAGCCACATCCCTTGGATTTGTATATATTAATAACCTGTCAATCAAATGCTGCAAGCCACGCCCCCTGCAGTGGGGTACTTTAATAGCTGAGCTGTTAATCAATATCTACAAGCCACGCCCCCTGCATTGGGGTACATTAATACCTGAGCTGTCAATCACCTGCTACAAGCCATGCTTGCTGCATTGGGGTAGTTAATACCTGAGCTGTCAATCAACAGCTGCAAGCCACGCCCTTTATATTGGGGCACATTAATATTCTGTCAATCAACAGCTTCAAGCCATGCCCCTTCCATTAGTCTATTAATGTCCTCCCTGTCAATCAAATTCTGTGAGCCACGCCCCTTCCATTGGTGTCTATTAATGTCCTCCCTGTCAATCAAAGTCTCTGCGCCACGCCCCTTCTTTTGGGTTGCATTGATCTGTCAATCAACCGCTGCGAGACACGCCCTTCTGTCAATCATCGACTAGCCACGCCTGTTCACTTTGATAATCCTGTCCCTCAACCAATCGGATTGGCGGGCGGTGACCCGCCGGCCAATGGGAGCGCGGCAGGGGCGTAGCTTGACAGAAGGGGCTGTGTGGCGAGCGCGGGAACGGCGCAGTCTGGGGGCGGGCGGCGGAGCGATCGCGTTGCTGAGGTACAATGGGGGCACGGCGGCTGTGGGAGCGGGGGGGGCTCCGTTCATATCGCGACACGGCGGCCGATCGCCGCCCCGACCCGCGTTCCCCCCGGCGCCGCCAGCCGCGGGCGCTCGGGGTTTTAGCGGCGTCGCAGAGCAGCGGCGGCTCCTTCTTCACCCGGCGGCGCTGAGGCGGCCTCGGGGCCCCGCCGGATTTCGGGGGAGCGCACAAAACGATCCCGGGGGGGCTCCGGTTCTGTCCGGGTTCGGTCCCGGTGCCCTCCCGGTTCCCCATCCCGCTTTTATCCCGCTTTTTTCCCGCTTTTATCTCGGTTCCGTCCCGCTCTGACTCCGCTTCTCCCCCCTCAGGCGGAGCCGCCGGCGGGAAGCGCTTCCGGAGGATCTGCGCTGTGGACTTCGCTTTTTTGTGTGCGTGTGCGTTTTTTTTAATTATTTTTATTTTTTGTGGGCTTTTGTGGGTTTTTTTCTGGGGTTTTTTTTGGTTTTTTTTTTTTGTTTTTTTTGGGTTTTTTTTTTTTTTTTTTTTTTTTTTTTTTTTTTTGGTTTTTGAGTTTTGGTTTTTTTTTTATTTTTTTTTCTGTGTTTTTTTAATTTTTTGTTTGCTTGGTTTTTTTGTTCCTTGCGGTTTTCGGCTTTTTAAATTTTTTTTTTAAATTTTTTACCTTTTTTAACCTTTTTCCCCCTCAGGAATCAGCCGCTGGCAGCAAGCGCCGTCCCGAGGATCTGCGCGATAAAAGTAAAGTTTTAAACCTTTAATTCGCATTTTTCTAATCAGGTTTCCCCTTCCAATGACTCTCTTTGCATCTTTAATTATTAATTCCATCTTTTAATGAGTTTTCGGAAGTTTTTGGCCAAATTTGAGGGGTTTTACCTCAGGATTTGCCCCCCCCCGCCACGTGTTTTTCTCCCCTTTACTTTTACAGAAAAGAAATAAAATAAAAAACTATAAAGTATTTTTTAACGAGTTTTACGTCCTAATTGTTGCTTTTAATAGATTTTTTTTTTCCTTTTTTTACAATTTTTTTTTTTTTTAATTCTTTTTTTCCCTGTCCGCGCGGGGGGAAATCGCACCACCAAAATACCCGATTTTATCTCTTTATTTCTTATTTTTATTTTTCCTGCCTTCCACTCTTTCCAGGTTTTGCTCTTTAAATTTCAAATCTTTATTTTGTTGGGGTTTTTTTTCCCTTGTTTTTAATACTTTTATTTTATTTTATTTTTTGGAATAAAAACTTGTTTCACTGCGGAATTCACGGCGGGTTTTGTGAGGGGAAGGTTAAAAATTGTGGGTTTTTTAGATAGTTGTTTATTAAAATATATAAATATTATATCTATACATATCAATAACAATATATTTAAATAAAAAGTTGTTTGTTTTTTTAAATAAAAACGCGGCCGCTTTGGTGTCGATTGGAACTGCGGGGTGAGGGGAAAGTTAAAAGTTATTGATTTAAATGGTTTTTTAAAAATAAAAATAAAATAAAAACCCGGCCCCGTGGTGCGGATTCTTTCCATTATAAATACAGCGTGAGGGGAAAGGTAAAAGTTATTGATTTAAATGTATTTTTGAAATAAAAATAAAATTAAAACGCGGTGTCGGGTCTTGCTGTGAGGGGAAGGGTAAAAGTTATTGATTTAAATGTTTTTTAAATAGAAATAAAAATAAAAATTCGGCCCCTTGGCGTCGATTGGAACTGTGGGGTGAGGGGAAAGATAAAAGTTACTGATTTGAATGTATTTTTAAATAGAAATAAAAATTAGAATGGAACCCCCCCCCGGTGCCCGTTCTTCTAAAAGTTGTTTATTTAAATGTGTTTTAAAATAAAAACGCGGCCCTTTGGTGCCGATTCTTTCCATTATGAATAAACCGTGAGGGGAAAGCTGGAAGTTACTGATTTAAACGTATTTTTAAATAAAAATAAAATAAAAACGCGGTGCGGGGACAGCTAAAAGTTCTTGATTTAAATGCTTTTTAAATAGAAATAAAAATAAAAACGCGGCCGCTTGGTCCCGATCCTTGCTATTATGAACACACCGTGAGGGGAAAGCTAAAAATTATTTATTTAAATGTTTTTTATTAATAAAATCGCGACTCCCGGTGCCCGCTCTGACCCTGAGGGGATCGTGAGGGGAGGAGGGGGCGGGGCCAAAAAGCGGCGGGAAAACGGAGGGGCGTGGCCTCGTCTCAGAGAATGGCGCGGCCCCGCCCACGGGGGGCGTGAGCTTAAAAGGACAAAGGGGCGTGGCCGCGAATTTGACTGACGGCGCGCGCGGGGCGGTGGCTTCCCGCGCGCGCGCGGCCGCGGCCAATGGGAGCGCGGCGCGGCCGGAAGAGAAGGCGGGCGGGAGGCGGAAGTGGGCGTGGCCAGGCGCGGCCATGGCGGCGCCCGCGGAGGAGGCGGCGGCGGCGGAGGGCGGCGGGGGCGGGGGGGAGGGCGACGATGAGGAGGCGCTGAGGCGGATGGAGGTGGGGGAGGGGAAATGGGGGGGAGGGGTTTACTGAGGGGGCGGGGCCGTTTTTTGGGGGCGTTTTGGGTTTTTTTTATGGGGGGGGGTCTGGGGTTCTGAGGGGGGCGGGGCTTGAGGAGGGGATTTTTACTTTCACTGATTTTGGGTTATTGTGGGTTATTTCCCATGAATATGGTTCATTTTGCTCTGACTTCTGCTGATTTCGGGGTGATTTGGGGTTATTTTTTGACGATTTTATGTTGTTCTTTTACTATTTTCAATTATTTTGGTTATTTTGTGTTGTTTCCCATGATTCTGGCTCACTCTGGGCTGATTTCGGCTGATTTTGGGTTGGTTTGGAGTTATGTTTTGATTATTTTAAGTTACTTTCGCTGACTTTTGGTTATTTTTTATTTCCCACAATTCCGTCTCACTTTGGGCTGGTTTTTGCTGCTTTGGGGTTATTTTGGGTTATTTTCCGGTCATTTTGGGTTATTTAGAGGCAATTTCAGGTTATTTTTTGGTTAATTCGGGTTATTTAGAAGCAATTTTGGGTTATTTTAGTTATTTCATGTTATTTTCACCAATTTCATGTTATTTAATGTTATTTCCCACTCCCTTTGAGATGATTTCTCCCCGTTTTTCTCTCTCCCAGGCCCTGGTGTCGGAGCTCTATCGCTTCCGGGACGCGCTGCCCGGCCGTGACCCCTCCTGTGACCCCGGCTGTGACCCCAATGACCCCAGTGACCCCGCTGACCCTGCGGGTGACCCCGCGGGTGACCCCGCTGACCCCGCGGGTGACCCCTTGGTGGCCGAGATGGAGCGGACGCTGCGCCTGATGGAGCAGATCCACGGTCAGGGCGTGGCCGGGACGTGGTCTGGGTGTGTCCAGGTGTGCCTGGGTGTGTCCAGGTGTGTCCTGGGTGTGTCCAGGTGTGTCTAGGTGTGTCCAGGTGTGCCTGGGGTGTGTCCAGGTGCATCTAGGTGTGTCCAGGTGTGTCCTGGGTGTGTCTGGGGCATGGCCAGGTGTGCCTAGAGCA